TAAAAGTTAATGTGTCTTTTAAAACCTTTAGTGGTTTTCTTAGCACAAAGACATATTTCTTTTTAATAGAGGACATTGTATGCAGGGGTTCTGAGATTTATCTCTATGGTCTTTCTTTATGCTTCTTGACAGAGTCCATTTCTTTCTAAAAGCAACATTTAGAAAATGTATGTTTAGAATGATTCCAGACATTTTCTTGAGTATCTTCTTAGGCTGACGCTTGTGCTCATTCTACCCCAGGTGTTCAGTCTGTGTGTGTCAGGGTTTTAAATCGTTTGTTTGTCATGTTCCCACATTATTGTTTCGAAATCTCAGTACTGAAATTTTGTTCCTATTTTTAATTCTTAAGTATTTTCCTCTTTTTGATGCTGTTGTAAATGGAATTGTTTACATTTATTTTTCAGATTACTTTATAGAAACATGACTGATTTTTTAATGTTAATTTTATATTCTTTAACTTTGCTGAATTTGTTCATCTAACTGGTTTTTGTGCCATCTTTGGGGTTTTCTACATATGAGATCATGTCTATGAACAGATGTGACTTTACTTCTTCCTTCCAATTTGGATGCTCTTTATTCCTTTTTCTTGCCTGATTGCTCTAGCTAGGACTTCCAGTGATTTGTTGAATACAAGAGGTGAAAGCACGAATCCTTTTCTTGTTCCTGATCTTAAATGAAAAGCTTTCTGTTTTTCACCATTAAAAACGATGTTAGCTGTAGGATTTTCATATATGACCTTTAGTATGTGAAGGTGGTTTCCTTGTATTCCTAGTTTGTTGAGTGTTTTTATTATGAGTTGAATTTTCTCAAATGTCTTTTTGGCATCAATTGATAAGATTATGTGGGCTTTCTCCTTCATTCTGTTAATATAGTGTATTACATTGATTGATTTTGTTACATCGAGTCATCCTTGTATTCCAGGAATAAATCTTACTTGGTCATGGCGTATAATCCTTTTATTATGCTGCTGGACTCTGTTTGCTAGTATTTTGTTAAAGACTTTTGCATCAATGTTCATAAGAGATATTGGTCTGTAATTTTCTTTTCTTGTAAGTTCTTTGTCTGATTTTGGTATCAGGGTAATGGTGGCCTCATAGAATGATTTAGGAGCTATTCCCTCCTCTTCCACTTTTTGAAAAAGTTGGAGAAGGATTGGCTCTTCTTTAAATATTTAGCAGAATTCACCAGTGAAGCCATCAGGTGCAGAACTTTTCTTTGTTGATAGATTTTTGATTGCTGATTCAATTTCCTTACCAGTAATAGGTCTACTCAAATTTTATCTTACTTTGTGATTTACCATATTTTGCCATGTATAATGTGCACCCGCGTTTTTGGCCCACACTTTCAGGAAAACAAATTTTTTTGTTTGAATTTTTAAATTAAGTTATTTATTTATTTATTTATGTTTAGATACTTGGTTTTTATATTATAAAGAAATTTTAGTATTTATTTCTGAACATATTATGGTACAAGAAATTTTATGTTACAAATAATTACAAAACACAAGAAGAGATACAAGGTATAAGAAATTTTATGTACCAATAACAAACTTATGATATTTACACATCACAGAAGGCTAAGAACTCCTTGTCACTGTCAATATCAGAAGTATCGTTGTCTTCAATTTCTACATTACTGTGTCTTCTGAAAAATCACTTTCCTCATCCTGGTAAATATCACTGTCCTCAGTTCCATCCATAGCATTGCGTATGTTGCACTTTTTAAATGACTTTACAACCACTTCCTTCTTGTCACTGTTCCACGATCTTAGGATCCAATCACAAACCTGGGCAATGGATGCTTCCTTGACTCTGCCTGTAGGCGTTAAATCTTTACCAGCTGACTGCATCCAGGAGGACATCTACTCTTTCTTCATTATGGCTTTAATGGGCTTGTTTACTGACACATCAAGAGGTTGCAGTTGGCTGATTAGCCCAGCAGGTATCACAGCAAGTTGGGTTTTCAAGCCCACTGCGATTGCTTTCACACTTTGTGTAACATGAGCTTGAAGTGAGCAAAAATAAGCAAAGCTGTTTTTTTAAGTAATCACCCAAGCCTTTGTGACTAGACTTGGTTAAACCAGATTTTCATGTCTTCTTCATTCCTCCATCCTTTTTCATGCATGTGCACAGTAACTCCACTTAGAATCTTTTCTTTCAGAAAAGTTTTTCACTGAAAGATGTCCATGGGTGGAAGCGTCGTCCCATCTGCACAGCAGGCTAGACCAACAGTGAAATGTGTTTTCTCATGACCATTAGTTTTGACAGCATGGTCTTTGCTCCTTTGATGTCCAAAGTTCCGTTGGATGGCACATCACATGTGAGTGGGACCTTATCCATGTTGGAGATTTGGGACAGCTCAAAGTTGTAAGTCTTTCAAAGAATAATAACATAAGAATGAAATTCCAAAACTTGATTATCATTGGCTACTGAAGTTTTTGGGCAAGTTTCATTTATGTCCTCATGCTCAAACCTTCTCTCTTTATAAAGTTAAAGCACCATATAGGTATCCCTGAGAGATCATCAGTGTTTTTTTCTTAGGTAATCCTTTTACCTTCTTTTTCTGTCTTCTTGATCGAAACAGAGATCCCAGTTTGACGCTGCTCCCGAATCCTGGTCTTTGCCTCCTGCCCCACCTCTGGCCACTTTGGAGGTTTCCCTGGCATTGCCTTCTTCTCTCCTGGCATCTGAAGGGGCTTTTCTTCCTGTTGCCTCACATTCTGATGACACTCCCTGTGGGAGGAGGTCCAAAGCGTCTCTTGGTAGCCCTGTTTCCATGCTTTTTAACATATTTAATAACTTTTAGCTTAAAGTTTGCAGTGTAGGAAGACCATTTTAACATTTTCCAAGGGGTTTTCCAATAATTTCACCTGCCTAAAGTGTATGAAGAGAAATGTCATGCTGTTCACCCTACGATAATATAGTCAGCATCACTTACTAAGTGGATAACAATCACCATCATCTATATTACTCTGTGGATAACATATGTCGCTCCTCTGCTCTTCATTTTAGTTCAGGTTGTTGATTTGGGGTCTTATTTTTTAATGTAACTATACATGTCACCCTTCACACTGCTTTCACTTTGTCCCATAAATTTTAGTATGTTATATTTTCTTTTTAATTGATCTGTAGGTATTTTCTAATTTTCCTTGTGATTTCTTTTTTGATCCATGATTATTTGAGTGTGTTGTTTAATCTCCACATGTGTGAGTTTTCCAGTTTTCCTTCTGCTCTTGATTTTTAGTTCCATTCCATTGTGATCAGAAAAGATACTTTGTATGATTTCAGTTTTAATTTTTTAATACTCATTTGAGGGCATGTTTATTGATTTTAGAGAGAGGGGAAGGGAGGGAGAGAAACATGGGTGTGAGAGAGAAACATTGATTGATGGGGTGCATACCACAAACCTAGGACCAAACCCACAACCTAGGCATGGGCCCTGGCCAGGAATCAAACCCATGACCTTTCAATTTACAAGATGACATTCCAACTGAGCCACACTGGCCAGACCTCTGATTTCAGTTTTTAAATCATTAAGACTTACAGGTGGTCTAGCCCATAGAATGTTCCATGTACATTTGAGAAAAATGTGTATTCTGCTGTTGTTGGGCAGAGTGTTCTTTGTGTGTCTGCTAGCTACAATTGGTCTACAGTGTTGTTCAAGTCCTCTATATTCTTATTAATCTTCTGCCTGGTTCTTCTGTCCTTTATTGAAAGTAGGTTATTGAAGTCTTTTACTATTATTATAGATCTGTTTCTCTCTTTTACTTGCTTTATATTTAGAAGTTGTAATATTTTTTATATCTATATCTATATATCTTATATACATCTTCTTGGTGAATTGACCCCTTTTTTTCATTACATAATATCCTTCTTTGTCTTTTGTAACAGTTTTTTGACTTAAGGACTATTTTGTCTGACACATTATTTTTAGCCATCCCTGCTCACTTTTGTTTACTCTTTATATAAAATTTCTTCATCCATCCTTTCATTTTCGACCTATGAGTGTCCTTAGATCTAGAGTCTCTTGTAGGTAGTACACAGTTGGATCCTGTAATCTATTCTTCCAGTCCCTGACATTTGATTGGGGAGTTTAATCCATTTACATTGAAAGCAATTACTGATAAGGAAGGACTTACTATTGCCATTTTTTTAGTGCTTGCATGACTCATAGATATTTTTTGTTCCTCATTTCTTCCCTACTGCCTCCCTTTGTGTTCACTTGATCTTTTGTAGTGACTCATTAATTCCCTTTTCACTTCCTTTTGTGTACATTCTATATTTTTTTTGTGGTTACTATGAGGATTGCATATAACATCATAGAGAAAATTATTTTAAACTGATAATAACTTCAGTATTTCAGTTTATTTTCTGTTTTTGAGTCCTTAATGTGTACCAGGCATTGCATTAAAAAACCCACACTCACCTCATTTTAATCCTTTTATTAACCTCCTAAAATGCAGGTATTACTATCTGCGGTTCACCGATAAGGAAAGCAAAACACAAGGTGAATAATTAATTGACCCTAAGTTGCATCACTGGGAAGCAGGAAAGTCAGGGTTCAGTCCAGTCTGCCACACCCTCCCACGTTCCACCCAACACTGTGAACAGTCTGAACTCACTGTGAACAGTCTGGACTCACGTCTCCTCTGCATTCATCCCATCAGCTGGGGTGGCCATGTGGCTTTGTTAAAACTTGTAGCAGACTGGTCTCTTTATTTCCCAAACATGTAATTCATGACTTTTAAAAATTTGACATTTAACATGGGTGATAGATGAATGGAAGCATAGGAATGACAAAATAGAGTGGAGACTTGAAAGTGTACACATAAAAAAGTAGATTATCTAAAGTTTAATGTGGCCAGCCTGGAGTGGGAATTTTCCTTATAATTGTCTCACTTTTTCCAATAATGAAACAAAAAGTAATAAATAAATAAATAAATATTGCAGGTTGGAATGTAGGAGATTGTTTAGTTAATACATTTTTTTCTTCTTTAATAGTCTACTGCCGGAAACATTAATTGGAAGTATGTGCTACATTCATTTATTGATATTTTATCGCCAAATTCTTGGAGATGTACTCCTGAAAGACAGGATGAGCATGCAAAGTGCTGGTAAGGGGTCTTTGCAATTTCCTTTTGTACAATAATGCATCATGCTTTGAGTAAATATAACCTATATCTTTTTTCAAAAGTGACATTTGAAATAAAAATTTTAAAATAGCATCAAAGTCAATAAATTACTATAGATACAAAGCATTATACTTAGTGTATATCCTGTGTGAGCTCAGTACATATTTAATTCTTTACCATATACATATTTTCTTATTTCCAGTTCTGGAGATTTGAGATCCTAAAACTCAGATATAATCATATTTTTCCTTACTGTCTCTGAATAAGTCTGTTTCTACCATGTTTGGTATTCACATCATCTTTTTGGAAAGAGACTGAAATCACCCAAAATAACTGGTTCTTGATGTACAAACTTTAAATATCAATAGATTAGTTAAAATTGGCATATCCATGTGAGAGGTATTCAGGAGTTCTGTGTACTTTTTTTATTTTTGCAATTTTATTTAAACTTGACATTTTTTTCCAGTAAAATGTTAAACATGAGTTGTCATACATGATTGAACTTACAACAAGGAATGCACATGTTACAAGGATTACCTCAAAAAAGTTTAACTTTACTGGACAGTCTTTGAATTCAGTAGATCTGTAAGCAGGTGGGTGTTGAGTGCCTCCTGCATGACAGGCCTTGTGAGACAGGCACGGCCATTCCTACCCTAGTGATGTACCTTAAACACAAAATCACCCAAGTAACCCTTTTCACAATTTGGAATCAGTGTTCTGAAGAAAAATGCACAAGAAAGTACACAGTAGGAAGCCTGAATTAATGTGTAGGATGAGGGAAGCCTTCTCTGGGCAAGTAACGTTAAGATAAGCCCTGATAGAGGAGTTCGAGTTATGAAGAGGGCGGTGGGGACTGGAGTTGAAAGCAGGCCAGTGGGGCTAGAGAGAGGGAGTGGGAGGGAGAGCCCTGTGGTGCCTTAGGATCTGGACGAGTAGAGTTCATGGTGAGACAGGGCTCCTCTGCCAGGGACCTGACGCCTAGATGGGTACTGGAAATGCAACTCCAAGTCTGAGAAGTACAGACATTTCTCAGGGAGCAATTATCATTCTAAGAGAGGACAGTTAAGGCAAGCCTTTTAATCATCACCGGCCTTTAAATTTAATTCAGTGACTCTAGAAACAATTCATGGATGACATGACCTCTCAAAAAGGATAAAGCTTATTTGTTGTCCTGGAGAAGGTTGCTCAGATTATTGGCTTCATTTGAACCTGACCATCAGAATAATCCTAGAAAAATCTGGAGAGTGGATTTTTTTTTCTCCGCTAAAGACACAGGATCATCTCCAAAGTGTTCTTCCTCATGGACTTCCTCACACAGGTCTTTCAGATGCCATTATTGTGGAATACCACTATTCTCCTACACAGTATGTAGGCATGTGGCCAAATTCCCAGCCCCCAATGCGTTCCAGTTTCATTCACCACCATCCCGTGACCCCCAGACACCAGGGTTCCTCGCCAAGTGCAGGGGGACTGGACTCAGGCACCAGCAGCCTCCTTTCTGCTGGTGCTTCCTGACTCCTCATACCACACCACCGTCATAGGAGGAAAGCGAGCCTGGAAAAAACACTGAAGAGCACAATTTTCTAGTCTTATTCTGTTCAGAGCCACTTTACTTCTACCCTAAAAGCTCTTGTTACAGACTCGAGCTTAAGTCCACTTGGTACAGACTCGTTCCAGAACCCTGTGGGGTATGGGTGTAGGGGAGGACGGAGGTTGACTTCTAGAGGATTAAATGTTAGAATGTGTTGTCAACAAATATTGTGACACCGATCCTAATCAGAATGAATGCTTTTCTGCTGCAGTAAAACATCGGATAAATTTGTATAAAATCCTTTTCGGTCTTTGTATTTCAGATTTAATCAGTAATCCCGTACTGGCTACCTTCCCCCAGCTCCTGCAGCAGCCCGACGTGATGGATGCTCTCCGGGTGGGTGGCCTGGTGCGGGGGAAGCAGTTGGGCACATGCACTGGCAGGTTCCAACACCTGCTCTAGGGTTTTCCCCCTATTTGGACGACATCTCCTGATCTGTGTCCACTTTCTAGCTCACTTGGTCCCATCCTTCCTTTCCTAGTGTGAGTGTAACTTTCCCAGGCTGCCCACCACCCGGTAAGCAGGTGGAGTGCATGCTGCACACACCGTGGCGATCTCTTATCTCTTGTCTGTCCCTTGACTTACGATGGCCACCAGCTGTGGCCCAAGAGCAACGATCCAAAACGGTTCGTTAGATAAATGAACTGAGCTCTCAGGGGAGGGTCAGGGCGCCTATCATTTTTGATTAATTCGATATATACTGTCTGCTGCATAAATAGCAGCTAGTTGAACCAGATGAAATCTCCAATTTTCAGCCATTTTTTTCATCTTCAAAATGTCAGTTTTATAAAAAGTTAAACTTGCTTTATCAAGGTCAATGACCATTAGAAAACCTCCATGCCTACCAGGCTGATGCTCAGATACCAAGGTAGGGGGCTCAGGGGAAGTATGACCCAGGTCCTTGGAGACTTGAAGAAGGCAGCAAATGAGGACCAGGAATTGTTCCATTAAAGAGGTCCTGGCTGATACCCGGCTGGGGCCACATCGGATTTTGACAAGCTGAGATGGGAGTGGGAGACACTACAGGTGGAGGGCTCAGTACGAACAAACACTGCGGCTGGAAGGACTACAGAGTGTTCTTGAGCAGAGCAGTAACCCGTGGGGCAGGTCGAGTGTTGCCGGTGGATGGGCACGGCCTGTGTGGGTCTCGTGTCCAGGAAGGGAGGGTGGGAGGGGCGGGTGACGCGTGAAGGTTTTGTTAGGAAAACTCCCGACAGCAAGAGAGGTTGAGGAGCACGCTTGCAGGAGGAAGGTGAGCTGTGTTGGAAGGCGACTTCTATTGGTAAGGAAGGAGGTCATTTGAGCCTGACAGAGAAATGGAGATTTTTATGAGACTTTGAAACTGATTTCATGTGCTGCTGTGGCTGGTGTGGGGGTGTCAACAATAACAATAAAGTTTCCAGCAAAATCACTTCAAATGTTCAAGGCATATGATTACCCATAGTTGCAGACAAATTCATTTGGCACTGTAGTTAGATGATGCAGAATTTCTCCTTCTTCCCTTATAAAGTCATTAGTATCATAATGTGTATTCGTTATACAGGACATACATACATTGACTCATTTGGTAAAGATTTCACGAGAGCCCACTGTGGCTCAGGTACTGTGCTGGGCACTGGGAGGTTTCTCTAGGTGTGTAACAGTCACAGAATCTGGGCGTTGGTGTTAGCAGGAACCGCAGGGCTGGTCCAGTCCAAATTCTGCACTTTCTGATGAGCAGACAGCAGAGAAGGGCCGTGACCTGGCTGGCCATGCAGCACAGCTCTGGGTGTGTCCAGATACACCACCGGCTTTTCAAGTAGCGTGAAGTTGTTCACAGATACTATTATGTGGAAAACAATAAAGTCCATTTGTTGTAGAAGTCTGTTTAAGTATATACATTTATATTTATATAGCTGCCTGTGAACAGGTTGGGAGAATAGACTCTAGAAAGGCAACAGTGACTACCTCTGTATGTTCTTAATTTTTCCACAGCAAATTATTTGTATAATAAATGATAAAACAAAAGAGTAGTTTTGTTCCTACAGTCAGTCTTGTGGCTTCTCTTGGTGGCACCCTGTATGATGTGGAAGAAGCTGGGCTGTGCAAGGTGGCTAGCTCAGGTTCTGCTCCCACTCCTGGTGCCTTGAAGCATGGATCTGTGGAAGGTCCCGCTACACAGTCACCCAAAGGTGCAGGCTGATAGCATCACCTGCACGAGTGGCTCCCTGTGTTCCCTCAGGGAGAGAGAGAGAGAGAGAGAGAGAGAATGGGGACTTGTCCATGGGCCTCCCTCTGCCTGTGCCCCCTGGTGGCATGAGCAGCTCTGCTGGCATTTTATTGACCAGAGCCAGTCACACAGCCCCACTGAACTGGAAGGGAGCTGGGAGGTGGCCTCCTGTTTGCTCCAGAGGAGGAAGGAGTGATCTTGGTGCATAGTAATGGCCTCCCAGGTTTTTCTCTGTTCCCACCAAGTTACAGTAGGTGAAACACGCCACTGCTTCCTGGTAACTCAGTGAAAAGTGAGCCGGGACCTTGACACTTAAGAACAATGGGCAAATGTCACCAGCTGGTAATAGGCCTAAAGTTGCTGAGTGCTATTCGTGTTAAGCCAGACTCCTCACAAAGTTCATGCTGTGCCATGTGTGAGCTTCCTATTGTTAGCTCAGTGAAGTCCAGTTTGCTGTTGGTGCTTGGATTGCTGATGATGGCACCTGGCTTGTCGAGTGAAGCACTCTGGGCTCGAAGGGTCCTCTTCACACTCTCTAGGATGCCGGGTGCAGCCTCAGCAGGTTTAGGAGAATACCCCCAAAGGCGGCTCTTCCAGGGAGTCACAGGACTTTCTAGGGAAGGCCTCCCTACCGGGGAGGGGCTGATGCATCCACAGAACCCATGCAATCAGGCACCCGTGGGAGGACATGTTTGTGAGCCCAGGACCCAGCAGCTCAGAGCCAGGTGCCGCCTTGTTTACTGTTTGTGGAGCTGGCGCTGGAAAGCTCCATCCAGACTTGTGTGGGGCTAATGGAACTCCGGGATTTTTAAAAATTCTTAAAAAAGCATTGATCTGTCCTGGTGGACAGATTGAAAATATTCGCTTGCAAAGCTGTGCTGCATTTACGTCACCTGACCGTTGTCATCCTCCCAGCAGACAGAATTGTAGACAAATGAATTTCCTACCATCTTTACTCTCTCACCTTCAAAACTTGCTAGTATTTAATTGTTCAAGTGCCGTGTTTGTGCAGTTTGAATACATGTGTTAGTGTTTCACTGATTCTGCTCTTAAATTAATTTTAACTGGTAAGAAACATGGGTTTCTGAGGCATCTCTCCCTCCCTGGCCAGTATGGTTTCAGGTCGTTAGCATTAGGTGCCCACAGATTCAGTTCCGATGTGTCAGTTCTCTTTTAAGCCCCATCCATAGGTTCAGTTACAATAAAGTTGCAGGCATGTGGCAAAGACTTGTGAATCCTCAGATTAATATAACATTTCTATTTCTTTTTTAGTGTTCGTGGGCTGAGAAGGAAAGTACATTAAAAAGATCAGAGAAGGTAATGCGCTTTTTCCACTTTTCCACTGCAAATCACATTTGCAGTGTTGGTGTGTGCTTGCCCATTCTAATAATGGCTTTTTCTTATTTTAGTGAAAGTAGCCGTTGTCATAATCCTGAGTCTGTTAAACTGGGTCATTATGCTTGCAAAGACACATTCCAAGAATGGTCTGGGGGTCAGATCACTGAATTTCATTTAGCTGAGGGGAAGTTTCAAAACCAAAGTCTCCTGGTTGACTATCAAATTTCTCTTACTAAAAAACTTTTTTTGTCCCTGGCTGGTGTAGCTCAGTGGATTGAGTACGGGCCTCTGAACCACATGATGGCAGTTCGATTCCCAGTCAGGGCACATGCCAGTTCCCAGCAGTGGACTCACGAGAGGCAACCATACATTGATATTTCTCTCCTTCCCTTCCTCTCTAAAAATAAATAAATAAATAAATAAATAAAATCTTAAAAAAATTTTTTTTCTTCTCGCTCTCAAAGTCATTATCAGGCAAGGAGAGGGAAAAATAAAGTTGGCCTCTGAGGAGAGGAGGGTATAAAGGGACTAAATGATAATGAGAAAAAATACAATAAAGATTAAATTAAAAATTTGTTCTCATCTGTGTCATACATTGGAAAACGCATGGCTCGTGCTCACATTCCACAGAAGCATGGTCGCTGCAAACCAGCAGCACGTGCACTATCGGTGAGCAGCGCCTTGTCTGCTCCAGTCTAGGATTCAGCAAATGTTTTCTGTGAAGGGCCACCTAGTAGATATTTTTGGCTTTGCAGGCCCTGTGGTGTCTGTAACAGTGACTCAGCATAGCCATGGGAACCCAGAAGCAGCTATAGACAGTATGTAAATGTCTGAGCATGACGGTGTCGATAAAACTTCACTTATAAAAAGAAGGAGTGTGCCACATTGGGCCCATGTTTTTTTGACTTCTAAAGTGTTACTTGTCTGCAAACTAAAAATCCTGAAAGGCGGGGAGGGATATATATATTGTATTTTTATTTGAGCCTCCCTCTGACCAGCACTTCTACATTGACCTTTGCTAGAATTGGCAGAGTTAAGGCTATCCTGGAACAGCTGTGAATAAGCTGTGGGACCTGAGCCTGTGGAAATTGCCCTCTACACACGGGTGTGCTGGGAGGGGTGGCATCTGTGTGCAGACTCCGCTGTGTTTGGATGCTTCCACCTTCGGGCTGCGAGCTCTGTGATCCCTCTCGGCCTTTCAGTGTCAGGGGCTGAGTGAGACAGTGTCTACACTGCAGACTCTAGTTATCTGTGGAGAGTCTCACAGCAAATCTTACTCCTGGGGTCTGCTTTCTCTGAATTGCATGCAGAACACTTGCTGCCTTTCCCTTACAAAAATGTGACAACTCTCTGATGTGCTGTAATTGAATTACACAGTTACAGCTGACTTCGCATTGCTGCATGTACTTGGATGCACACCCCTGTCATCAGGATTAGACTTCAGCACCCCATTCTCCTTGATGGAAGTGGTGAGACACCCTCAGTGGGGCTCAGGAGAGCCCGGGCCTCAGAGTCCCCTGTCGACCGAGAGAGAACTGATCCTCTCTGCTCCACCATGACTTGGGGTCTCTTTTCCACTGAGAGGGGCTGCTCTCTGACTGAGTCCCTGGTGCGGAGCCCATGACCTGCCGGGCACTGTGTCACCTCCAGCCCAACCCTAATGGCTTTTAGTTAACAGAGTTAATTGATTTAACATTTAGCAAATAATCACGCAGATCCATTCACAGCAACTCGTTGTGTTTTCCCAGAGAGACAGAGAATTCCTGAAGGCTGTGTTTCTCCAGGTCTACCACGACTGCGCAGTCCCCCTTCTCCACTCCACACTCCTGCCCCCATTCAGGTGGGCAGAAGAGGAGAGTGAGGCTGCGCGGTGGAAAGTCATCACTGATTTCCTGAAGCAAAACCAAGAAAACCAGGGCGCCCTCCAAGCTCTGCTGTCATCAGAGGGAGTCCATGAACCTTTTGACATTTCAGAGCAGACCTATGACTTCCTGGATGAAGTGAGAAGAAAGCAGCTTGACGATGGTGGCCATGACCCTCAGCTGCCCTGAATGCAGGTACAGAACCAGAAGTGCCTGCCACATTGAACTCAGCCTTCCTCTTCTTTGTGCAGGCCACATTCTGTAAGAATGTTTATGCAATAAAATAAGTTTTTTTGAGAAACACTGTTGTATCTAAATTTAAAGAGAAGTTTTTAAAAACCAAGTAAATTTAAGGTGACTGTACCTATAAATTTGTATAAAAGCAATATTTTATTAAAAACAATTTATGATTATCAAAAAAATGAAAATACAATCCACAGAATGGGAGAAGATATTTACAAATCATATATCTTGTAACACTCTAGTATCCAGAATATGTAAATATATGATTATTGCTAATAGAACTTATGTTGTGAAATGAAGGGGAAATCAGCATAACCTATTTGAGGAAGCTGTGTTGTTTATCAATTAAGTCTAATATTTGAATACGATTTATCCTAATTAGATATAAAGGAAGAATATCTAGTTTTGCCTTTTTGTATCCATATAGTAGGAGCTCTTAAAAAAAAGTTCAGGTATTGGGAAATGAATTAACCCACCTTTATGTCAAAAGAATATAGGTTTTACCTCCATCTAATTTACAACCAAATTCTAATTTGCGACCAAATTCAACCAATTCTGTGAGCATCCTGACTGCTGCCCTGACTGCTGTGGCTCAGTTGGTTAGGTGTTGCTCTGCAAAGCAAAAGGTTGCTGATTCGATTCCCTGTCAGGACACTTGCCTGGGTTGTAGTTTCGGTCCCCTGTCAGGGCGTAGGTGAGTGGCAACCAATTGATATTTCTCTCTCGTGTCATTTCCCTCCTTTTGTTTCTCTCTCTTTCCCCCTCTCTAAAAATAAATAAATAAAAAATTTAAAAAGAATATAGCTTTTGCTGCCTTTCAGATAGACTTGTAAATCCTCAACCAATAGTATGTTTTTTCGTTTTTATTTATTTTTAAATATATTTTATTGATTATGTTATTGCAGTTGTCCTATTTCCCCCCTTCATTCCCCTCCACCCTGCACACCCCTCCCACCCACATTCCCCCCTTTAATTTATGTCCATGTGTCATACTTATAAGTTCTTTAGCTTCTATATTTCCCATACTATTCTTACCCTTGCCCCATTTTCCACCTACCATCTATTTCACTTATTCTCTGTACCTTTCCCCCCTCTCCTCCTCTGATTGCCCTGTTGCTCACCCTCCAGGTGATCTCCATTTTTGTGGTTCTATTTCTGTTGTATTGTTTGCTTAGTTTGTTTTTGTTTTTGTTTTAGGTGTGGTTGTTAATAACTGTGAGTTTGCTGTCCTTTCACTGTTCATCTTTTTTATCTTCTTTTTCTTAGGTAAGTCCCTTTCACATTTCATATAATAAGGGCTTGGTGATGATGAACTCCTTGAATTTGACCTTATCTGAGAAGCACTTTATCTGTCCTTCCATTCTAAATGAAAGCTTTGCTGGATAGAGCAATCTTGGATGTAGGTCTTTGCCTTTCATGACTTGGAATACTTCTTTCCAGCCTCTTCTTGCCTGTAAGGTCTCTTTTGAGAAATCAGCTGACAGTCTGATGGGAACTCCTTTGTAGGTGACTGTCCCCTTATCTCTTGCTGCTTCTGGTATTCTCTCCTTCATTTTAATCTTGGCTAATGTAATTATGATGTGTTCCTCCTTGGGTCCAACTTCTTTGGGACTCTGAGCTTCCTGGACTTCTTGGAAGTCTATTTCCTTTGCCAGATTGGGGAAGTTCTTCTTTGTTATTTGTTCAGATAACTTTTCCACTTGTTGTTCTTCCTCTTCTCCTTCTGGTACCCATTATAATTCTGATGTTGGAATGTTTAAAGATGTCCTGGAGGTTCCTAAGCCTCTCTTCATTTTTTGGAATTCTTGTTTCTTTCTTTTTTTTTGTTTGGTTGTTTATTTCTTCTGGTCCACTCCACTGATTTGGATCCATTTCCTTTTCATTACTATTGGTTCCCTGTACATTTTCCTTTATTTCACTTAGTGTAGCCTTCATTTTTTTCATCTAATTTGCTCAAATTCAACCAATTCTGTGAGCATCCTGATCACCAGTGCTTTGAACTGTGCATCTGATAGGTTGGCTATCTCTTCATTGCTTAGTTGTATTTTTTCTGGAACTTTGATCAGTTCTTTCATTGGGGCCATTTCCTTTTGTCTTAATGCGACTGTTATGTAGTGAGGGGTAGAGCCTTACCCAGGAGCTACCCAGTTGCTGGGTTGTGACACTGTATGTGGGGCAGGGGCCTGAGAGGCAACAATGGTGCTTGCTCCTCTCTCTGCTGGATTTCAGTCACTTCCTCCATTTCCCCCAAGCAAACTGGGCCCTTCTGGTACTGATTCCTGTGTGGGTGTGTTTGTGTATGTTCTAGGACCCTATGGGTCTCTTCAACAAACTATCCTGTGAGGCTGGAATCTCTCCCAGCACCTCAATGCCCACAGGTGTTTTCAGTTAGGGTTTTGAGGCTTTATTTCAGTGTGCTGGAACCCTGGATTGCTTGGTTTGTTGTCTCACTCCCCAGTTTCGCTTGGTTTATGTGTGCAAGAATGTGGGATCACCCGGTCTACCAGCTGCCTTTCGCACCATGCCCCTCCACAGTCCGTTCCCTTGTTGGGTCTGCCAGCCACCGCTCTTTTTGCTGAGAACCCCCTCTACACCTGGCTGCTCAACTCCACCCCTTCTACTGAGCTCCTTGGTTGTCAGACTTCCATACAATTCAGTTTTCTGTCAGTACTGGTCGTTTATAAATTTTCGTTGTCCTTATTTTGGTTATGTGAGGAGGCACAGTGTGTGTACCTATGCTACAGCTTGGCCAGAAGTCAAAGGTATGTTTTTTATTTCAGAGAGAGAGGAAGAGGGAAGGGAGGGAGAAAGTGAGAACGAGGTGAGAAACATCGATGTGAGAGAGAAACATTGATCAGTTGCCTCTTGTGCGTGCCCTGACCAGGGATCAAACCCGCAACCTATTGGTGCTCTGAACAACACTCCAACCAACTGAGCCACTCAGCCAGGGCCAGATTTTATTTATTTTTAAAAAGAATTTTTTAAAAAAGATTTTACTTATTTATAGAGAGAGGGGAAGGGAGGGAGAAAGAGAGGGAGAGATACATCAGTTATCTGTCGCATGCCCCCCATGGGGACCCGATCCACAACCCAGATATGCACCCTGACTGGGAATTGAACTGGTAACCTTTCTGTTCACAGGCTCGTGCTTAATTCACTAAGCCACATCAGCCAGGGCCCAGATTTTATTTTTAAAAAGCTGAAACCTTTTTTCTTTTGTAGAATGTCCAATTTGAAGTTGTCACTAAGAACAGACATAGTTCATAATATATATACCCTATGATAATAATAGGTAGTATTTAGCCAATATAATCTCCCATTTTGAGTGGCATGTTAGAAAATCAGTATTTATTGTTCTCTGCTTTCCATGTTTCATTTGTCAGACCAGTAAATTCAAATTATGAGAAAGTTAAAAGAATAGGTATTTCAGGTTGTCCAGTCCTGTTGGTGTTAAGTAAAAACAGGAAAAGCAGATGGGAATCACTAAAAGGAAGAGGAGTGAATAGGTCTGTAGTAAAAAGATAACATTCATTTTTACTTGTTTTCTCTTTCATTAACAACCTCTTTTCCCCTAAAGTGGTAGCAGGTCTTTAGGGAACACAATGGCCCTGGGTGAAAAAATAGAAAAAATCAACCAAAACTATCAAACTGATCATATGGTTTAAAATTAATCATTGTTTTAAGTATCTGTATTTCTCCTAGTGACACTGGAAGAGAACAGTGTTCATGCTGCCTGTCACACACTGAACCTGATAAGCAGAGACAGGGATTGAATCTTTATGGGTGCTTTATTCAGATGCCTGATGATCTGAGAAGATGGTGGGTTTGTACTCTAACACACTGTCTTAAATTCCATTTTTAAAAAATATATATTTTATTGATTTTGCTATTACAGTTGCCCCATTTCCCCCCTTCATTCCCCTCCACCCTGCACACCCCCCTCCTCCACCATTCCCCCCCTTAGTTCATGTCCATGTGTCTTAAGTTCTTTAGCTTTTACATTTCCCATACTATTCCTGCCCTCCCCTTGTCTATTTTCTACCTACCATTTATTAAATTCTACTTTAAAATGGCCTCTTATGAGGAAAACAAAGTGTAGGTAAGGGATTTGGAATTCAGGGAAAAGTTAATTGGATTAAGAAAACTGCAGTATTCTTGCCCTGGCTGGTGGTCTTTAGCTGTGTCCTGGGTGGTGGTCATCTCACCCTGGAGCACAACGGCTCAGATACCACCTTGATTGCTTGCAGTCCTGAGACACAAAGGAGGAATTGCTTGTGGTCTCCTGGAATCAGGGTGGCTCAGACCTTCAGTTCCTGAAACAGTAGCTTTAACATACACATTACCTATTAGGCTTATAACTATTTATCTTAAATTAAAATTCTCCAATTCATGAGTCCAATATCACTAGTGTAATAAAAAACAAACTTACTATTAATGACCATATTGTAAAAAACTGTTATTTGAAAAGTTAGGTCTTCAGTAGCATTAACTCAGTGAGACAAATAGAAAAACCCAAACCAGCAGCAGATAAGTGTTATGATTCAGTACTGAATCATCATGTCATATGTGTTGCAGTTGGTCAAGGCCTGGCAGGTCCACTCCAGGTTCAGGGAGGTGGAAGAAAATGTTTGGAGCCACGGGGATGCTTGACATGCCTTTATTCACAGGCGGGCAAGCCATGCACGTTACAAGGTGCCTTCTTAAGTACTAGAGACAGACAAAGCCAGCAGAAAGCCAAAACATTATATAATATAACATGATTCTGCACATGCGAGCTTACTTCATATTATGGGAACCGTTTATCAGATCCAGTCTCAAGGCTGTGGGAACATTACTTATCAGGCCTGTTCAAGGTTATGGGAAACTGCTTCCTTAGTTACTCATATACCTGGGTGGGGAAGCCAGACTGCCTCCATTTACCCTACATTGTATTTCTGGATTATGATTTTAAAAGTTCACCCTTGAATCACCTTTTTTTAAATTACTATTAATTGACCACTTATGA